AACTATTGGATGAGATTATTAGTCAGTTAAACTACTGATTGTGCTGTAATATTCTTTTAATGTGTCTGTCTCATAAATTTTTGTTTTACAGGTTGATCCAGTTGTATATAACATGCTTCATGAGGATCCTGGTAATGTTAGCTACTCTGCTGTGGGAGGGCTCTCAGATCAGATTCGAGAATTAAGAGAATCTATAGAACTGCCTCTCATGAATCCAGAGCTCTTCTTGAGGGTGGGAATCAAGCCTCCCAAGGTAATAATACTGTTGTATCTTGCTTCATCTGTTGGAAGAAAATTGAAAATACTTCGGAGGCTGAATTTCAATTTGTTCCAGGGTGTGCTTCTTTATGGACCTCCTGGAACAGGAAAGACATTATTAGCCAGAGCAATAGCTAGCAACATTGATGCCAACTTTTTGAAGGTTAGAAATTGTTTTTTGCAATTTGAATGTCGGCTTTAAAATTCCTTGTTTTGAGTGCCCATGTATTTTTGTTAACCAAGAATTGGATTTTTACTTTGGATTTAGGTTGTGTCAAGTGCCATAATTGATAAATATATTGGTGAAAGTGCTAGATTGATTAGAGAGATGTTTGGGTATGCACGGGATCATCAAGTAAGAGCTCAAATTATTAGTGAATATATTTTTCCTTTGGTGAGAAATCTGCCAAGATATATTTATCGTAACTTTGTAACGAGTTTCTGCTTGCCAGCCATGTATTATATTTATGGATGAAATTGATGCCATTGGTGGACGCCGTTTCAGTGAGGGAAACAGTGCTGACCGTGAAATCCAAAGAACACTCATGGAGTTGCTTAATCAGCTGGATGGGTTTGACCAGCTAGGGAAGGTAGCTTACTTTGTTTTCATCCAACAAACCCAATATCTCGATTTGTATATGTGCTAGTTTGACATGGAGCGCTTGTTTTACTAGAAATTTGTTGACTCTAGTTTGTGTCTCTAGGTTAAAATGATTATGGCAACTAACAGACCTGATGTTCTGGACCCTGCACTTCTTCGACCGGGCCGTCTAGACAGGAAGATAGAAATTCCATTGCCAAATGAGCAGTCAAGAATGGAAATCCTCAAAATCCATGCTGCTGGAATTGCCAAACATGGAGATATTGACTATGAAGCAGTTGTAAAGCTTGCTGAGGTAAGCTGGAGATGCTTCTATCTGTACAAATCATTAGTATCTTTTACATGACTGTTGAATCAAGCACCTTTGCTGCAGGGTTTTAATGGTGCTGATCTTAGAAATGTTTGTACTGAAGCTGGGATGTCTGCAATCCGTGCAGAACGTGATTATGTCATTCATGAGGATTTCATGAAGGTAAGGTGTTCTTCCTTTCAGAAATGCATATCAAACTAGGTGTAACAGATTTCATTTATGTCAGGGCCTGTTTGCTCATGACACTTGAGTCCTGTACTACTCAGCCAGTGTTGCTGTCTTTGAGAGAGCCCTTCATTTTTCCTGTCTGGTCACCTACACTCTGTTTGTCAAGAGGGATTGGAGGAAGGGTGGACACGTGGGGAGAGATTGGAATCCATCTCTCTTAGCAAACATAGCCTTGGAGAATCATTTAGTAAAACAGACCTCACTTCTGCTATGCAAGAAATGAAAATTGAAATCGTTTAATTTTTAAGTCAGCTCACTGTGAAAATGGACATCTAGACAATTCTGTTTCCTTGGACATCTCTACTTTGGTTGTGCCTGTTACTGTGTTTGAATGGTTTGACATGATATGGCTTTCTTCCATTACAGGCTGTCAGGAAACTAAATGAGGCTAAGAAGCTTGAATCTAGTGCTCACTACAATGCTGACTTTGGAAAGGATTGAAACCCGTGCTTGATTTTTTTTTTTTGGTAACTTCTCAGGCTGCCCATAAACTGAATGAAATGGAATTCAGATCTTGTACCATTTGTTGTTCCCTTCAGTTGAATTGCTGTAAGGATATTTCAGAAAAACAATTGTTCCAGCAAGGAGATATTCCATTCTATTATGGTTTTCATTCTTGGCTCTTGGCAAGCAGCATTGTTCTTTGGAGTTTCTCCTGTCACATCTCACATGACAAGTTGACCTTAATGTTGCTAGTAAGCGAATGGCTGCGTTCATTCAATCAATTGCTTTCTGTATTGATTATGTAGCTATGGGTTTGTGTTTTTAATTTTTTTTTCCTTGCCTAATTGGATCATTTTCTACTCAACCTGAATGCTATATTTGATTGATATGTATCCCTCTGGCAATCAAACGGTGAGAGCAATCTCCTTGCATAGCGATGTTACACTATGTATTAATTATTTTTAATTATAAGGTAGGCAATGCATTCAATATGTATCGATAGTATGATGTGTCTTAAAAAATAAAAATGGTATTTTTTAGACGGAATTCCGACTTCTATTTTCATTTTTGGTGGCCGATGCACAACAATGGCACCGAAGCTCTACCTGCCACCAAAATCACAACACTATCCTTGTCTTGTCCTATCATTTAGGTTTCCTAGATTCGTAATTTCTATCTACGGCCTGCATCTTTTGTAGGAAGAAACGCAAATCCTGCCCCGGTTCATTATTCTCATTGCTCCCCTTTTGCATCCAAAATCACGCGTTATTATGTCAGTCACAGGTTGCTGTTGTTGTGATGGGAGAGGATGGGAGGAATGAAATTAGGGCATATGAGACTTAAAAAAAAAGAGAGACGTTGATAGTATCGTGTTAGGCAATGTTCTATTTATGTTTTTAGTTTGAGAGAGGACTCTTCAGAGATATCCATGTGGAGGCTTAGTTGAAGGCTGATTCTTCCTTTTGGCCTTGCATGTAACCAACCAGGCAGGGAGTGAAGGACAGGATACGAAAAAACAAATTCGGTATCTCTCTCGTCTGCTTCTCTGTATCTTCCATAGTTGAGCATTGATGGTATTGATAAACACTCTTCCAGAAGAACAGAGAAACTTGGAAGAAATCCAAGTTGGTACCATTTCCATTAAGCTTGCTCCAATTGGTATCAGAGCTGCTGCTCCTTGGACTCAGGGCTCCAGACACTCGGTCCCAAGAGCTCGAAAGGCTTGACGACTCCCTTGAATAAGCCATTAAAGAGCAAGCACGAAAATGAGTAATGAGTCTGGAATGAGGCTGCTTAATTCATATGGCCCACAAGGCCTTGTGTGCCTGGAACAGGCAGAAATGATGGACGTGCACTTCCCTTGCTAAAGCGGCCGCCAGCTACTTTTCAGCATGGAGGTGCACCATGCGGTTGTGTAATTATGTAATCAGTCGGATCTAATCTTCTACGAATAGAATCTTTTTTGTTCTGTTAATCAAGACCGAAAGTGCTCGGCAACAAGGAAACGCGCACGCACAGCGGGAACATGTTTCTTTTTCTATGAAGAGAGTTCTTTAAGATCCTTTTCTTGGTAACTTTTTGCATGCGAGTTAATATCAAGATTTAATTTTTATTTTCTAGGACAAACTGAAAACTATTTATGCAACCCAAAACATGATTACATGCTTCATACACGGACAGCCTATTAAAATTATTACAGAACTAACCTTAACTGCTAATTCACACATAATTCAACCAACCCTGTCCACATGAAATCACTAATAACATATTAACACCACAAAACAATGGACTGCCATAGCAGACTTCTTTAATGATGGCTATGGTGGCCAGGCAACTTCTCTTTGATTTTTTCCATCACACTCCTCTTCTCATGTTCCTGGCACTGTTCCCCAGCTGGACCGGTGGCTGTGGTGTGTACCTCAGCGGTCTGTCCATGCTCTTCCATGTGCTTCCCACAAGTTAATTTCTCCTTTATTTTCTCCTTCAGCCCTTTTCTCCCTCCTCGCCCATCGTCCTCAGACTACAATTAAAAGAGATAATTAGCGATCAAAATTATTTGCAGAAAAGATGTCAAAAAACTCCCAACATTTCTTAAAGAATATGGCACGAGCGTCAGGAGTCTCATGGAACGGCGCCACTGTAGGATTCTATATACGCGTCATTGTTCATTACATATAACCTGGAGCTTTACCTGATAAAACTCATTAAAAATTTCTGTTCAAAATAAGGATTCGAGGGGCGATCAATGTGTAACCATCATCTGGTGTCTTAGTTATATAGTTATGTCAGTCAAATATGTCTTACCGAGCCAGAGCTTGACGTAGATGAAATCTCTTCCTGCTCCTCTTTCTTATGTCCACCTTGATCAGCAGCAACCCCACCATGCTGTCCCGTCTCATGAATGCCAGTGCCCTTCGTTGCATCTTCACTCATGGCAGTACTAGGCAAAAGTCCAGTAACAGGTACCTGATCACTACTTACATTGCCAAGCGTCGGAGGTTGTTTGGTGGTGGCTATGCCAGTGATCTGTACAGGGTTACCATGTTCATCTGTTAACTGGACTTGGTTGCCATATTCATCTGTGAGTTGAATTGGATTGCCTTGCTCATCTCTTAATGTGGTAGCCATCTTTTTTAGCAACAGTGATGAATTTCGATTTTGATAGTGAAGGACAGAGTTTAAGCTTGGCTTGCTAGGCTGGCCTAATAAAAGGTAAATAAAGTGGCGGAGGAGGACAGACGTGGCTCATGCATGCAACGTGGTTTCTACACCTGTTGTTAGATAGTCCAAAAGAGCCATGAAGGATTGTTGCCACGCTAGCCATGACAGGAGACGTGTCACTCATCTCGGCTCATAAGGTTTCATGAAGGACGAAGAGTAATTCCTTTCCCTTCAAAATACCCCGAATAAATACATCCATCCAATAATTATTATCATTCACCAAGTATAATTTTTATTTTCTGGAAAACTAATTTATACGGATACTTCAAAATAAACGCATTACTCTAAAAATTAGCCTTCCAGGACATGATGCAGCAGTCTACAACAGAAACCACAAGACAAGTTGCATATAGTTTCCTAGAGAAACAATATTGAGAAACCACAACACCGCACCAAATCCCACAAGAAATGAGGTTGATTATTCATGTATGAGGGGTCTTTTATCCATACCTCATTGATTTGAATCAGTTCATGAACTGTGTCCAAGCAAGAAACAAATTGATCTGTACAAAACACCAATAGGATCACCAATCTTGTGATACATTTTAATTCTACTAATCTTTTCATAATCATATAGGAATTCTATAAGTTCATTTACTTCTTTACAGTATCGCTCCACAAACTAATCCTGTGGGCCAGTTTGAAAAAGTGTAAATGTGTATGCAGATGGAGATGGAGATGTTCCAAAACGAATTCTTAGAGGAAAACTTCCCGCTGCCCCAACAATCCTTTTTTGACAACGCAGAGATGGTCAGCACTGGAATCTGCAACCATAAAAGTTGATCAGTCATGTTGAGTTCCAAGAATTTGATGGTTAATAAAAACACCTATGCATATTTTAGAAAGTTTCCGGTCAATCAAAATCTTCACTAATACATCTGCTATACACATCATGCTATCATGCATTAACGTTTGGAAGCCACAAGGCTCTCGCCGTGACAATTTCCAGTGATTTGTATGGACAAAAGCAGCATATACAGGAGTTGAAGACTTGAAGTACTCACCACTTCACAGCTGAGACGAACATCAACCCCTCAGAGATCTTGTCCAGAAGAAACCTTTCTTTCTGGTTGAGTGATTCTCAGTAGAGCATCTACTCGCTTTGGATCCAAATGAAAAATGCCGCCTCAAGAAAGGCTTTGCCAAGGAACTTTTCATGCTGGAACTTAAGCCCATCTTTGGACCCTTTCCTTCATTTCCACCATCTTTAAAGCGATCAAACATTGCCAAATCACCATCAAGATCACTATCTACCACCCGGCTCCTCAATTTCTTGTTTCTAGCCTTCAACTCCATTTCTGTTTTTAAAGCTTTTTGAGACAGCTTAAAGGCCTGCTTCTCTCCCAAGGTACAAAATGGGCATGCAGGATCATACTTGTCAATTTCAGGAGTCAGAGCTTCCAAACACTCAGCATGATAAGTGTGACCACAAATTAAAACTGCAACAACGGAGAGCTCATTAGTAGCAATGAGCTTCTGGCTGCCCCACAAAGATTTATCAGTCAATAGCTTTGAGCAGATCCCACACGTTTGAAAATCAACAGAAGTAAAAGCTGAGCTTCGACCACTGGATCCGGTCTTCTCATGATTAAACCCCGAGCACTCGTTATCAAAAGACCACCTTTCTCTATTAGAAGTAGCCATGAGCTCAGAAAATGCATGCATAGACCAGCCATCTGAAGACTCACCATGGCATCCCTGAGTTGATTCATTGCTCCATGAAGAAACAGGAGGCCTCTCTTCAGAACCTGGGATGCTCTTTGATGACCTCAATCCTGGGATTCGGGCATCAGATAATGGCTTTGTTAGCTGATGTCTCGGAGAGCGCTGTAGCCACCTTGATGTTGTTGGGCTGGCAGGATGTAAATGACTTCGGGGGGGAAGTGGAGATGTTGATAAGGATGAAGCAGAGGGCAATGACAGTGAGATTTTCTCAGGAGATGGATTCAGAACCGCCATGGATTCTGTTGACTCCTTCACCTGAAAGATGAACAGATTCGGTAATGTATGCCATTTGAAGGAGAAGAGGTGAAGTCAATCATTGAACAAATATAGAAGTTCCTTCAACGAGAAGAAATCTCTACCTGTTCCAAACTCGTTTCCATTGAGATATTCCTTGGGAGAGATTGATCTGCAAAAGAAGTGTAAATGATCATAGATGAACATGTGGGCTCATGGGAGGTCAAAAACCCACAAGATGAATAGATTTCTTACAAGTATTCTATCAAATGTCCAATGTAATAAGAATCTTAAGAAAGCGATTAACATAGCTTATGTTTCATTTTCCCCCATCAAAACTTGAAACTAAGAAAACCAGTTGCCAAAAGAAGAACAGGAAGGGAACCATATAGTACACAGAAGAATCTAGCCGTCCAAAGAAACGTATAGAAATAACAAATCAAGCTCTAGTCATGATTAGTCATTATTCTCCCATGTAAAAAGATTCTAGTAATTATTCTGCGTTGCATCTTACAGAAGATAATTGAAGATGCATAAGAAGAAGAAGAAAAATATGACAACAGAACAAAGGAAGGGAAAAAGGAAGAAGAAAGGTCAGGATAACAAATAGCACAGATTAGTAGTTTGTGAGGGATTACAAATTTGTTCTTTAAGCAGATTCTCAAGGTTGCTCCATGAAAAAGTAAAATCCTGGAAATTGGTGCAATAATTGCAAAAGATCTGTGTTTCTAAAATATGCATTCAACATTTCCCTTTTGAGCTAAGCATCTCTCTTGGTATCATGCACCTTGCATGTAACATGAGAAGAATTCAAGCGTGAGGACAAACAAGGCCAGTAAGCACACAGTTTATTTTATATACATGTTTTCTTCAATCTAACATCATAACTATGCAATGAGCTTATTGTAGAGCTCATGGTTATTGTCTTTGCATACATTTTCAAAATCCTAAGCACTGCATGAATCTTTCTGCTTTGGGCATTTATTGTTCCTCGCCACCAGTTTTCAGTTATATTAGAGTGTATTTCATTGAGTTCTGCTCCTCGCTCATTAATGATAATGAATAAGGTTCCATTGCCAAATCAAACAAACTGTTTGTCCTCACCTTCTATAACAATAAGCAACTATGATGGTTTAAGCTCTTACAGACATGCAAATGTCAAGTAAGGGTATTGCTTCTACTTTTCAATCCATGCATCTATATGCAATACAAAGCTAACTGCAACAGTATCTTAAATATAGAGGTAAATTTCAGAATGAGCTGAAAAATAATGTGAAATAGGTCATTAGATGCTAATGTGAAGAACCATATCCACCAAAAGTTTACCTGAAGCAGGAGTCCTCGCATGAGCTGCGGTTCCTTCAGATGTCGGGGACTTCTGCCACGTATGTCTCTGGAAGCTCTCCGTTGGGCTTCCATCCTCCGATGTATAGGTTGATTCATATTTGATATCTGATCCATCATTTCTGCTAATTCCATCAGAAAACCAACTTATCGATGTATCTTCCCCTGCTACTCGCCCTCGATTATCCCATCTAAAGCTCCAAGTTGGCGAATACCGAATATTTCTATGCAAGATTTCACCACCTGGTCCACTCACTATATTTTTATCTCTCGCAGCAACACAGCAAGCACTCCCCATGCTCAAACACAAAGTGCCTCCAGATTCTAACACCAACCCAAAATCTCCACTCACATGCTCCACCGTCCAAACACAACTCAAATTTCACTACCAATGGAAAATTCCCAGGTACAAATACATTTCTTCCGCTGCAATTAAGAAAAAAAACCAATATTTATCACTAATTTGATGGTCTCAAGCTAGTCTTAACCGCGAACTTGCTGTACCTCAGAATTGGGTTTCCAACTCATTTCCACCACCAAATATGCAAAAACAAGATAATTTTCAGCACACACGAGAAAAATAAAACTAATTCAATAAAAAAATAACAATAAAACAAGGAGAAGATTTAAGGGTCTTGAGAAAGCAATTAAGAGAATTCCAAGTCAAGTTAACTTTTTTGAAAAAGCAGTAGTCAATAGTGAGCTAATTACCAATAATTCAGTTCACACCAGCTGATTTTCGAAAAATATATATATATATATAAAAAAAACAATCAAGGAAATTTATAGGAGCAAATAAATTAAACCAGCAAACTAATTAGGAAACTAAGGTGTCTCCGCTCTAAATCCACAAGAGTTTTTTTTAAAAAATCCAAAAATAGAAACCACAAAAAATAATCACTCGTGATAATTTTTCTAAAAAAAGGATCCGATTTTAGGTCCTAAAAAACAGCACTAAATGGTCAAAATCGCAAGTGATGAAAAAACCGAAACCGACGTGATCGAGAGACTGTCCGTACCTTTCTCAGAGCCAAGACGACAGCGTTTTTAAAGCGAAAGAAAAAATTCGACAGAGAGAACGAGATGGCGAGCGGTTTTTAGAGAGAGAAAATGAGAGAATATGAAGAGAGTGAGGCTGCTGGTTCTTTTAGGCACAGGGAGAGAGGGAAGGTCGTTTTTGACGGGTTTTACGTTGACGACGTTAGGATTTATTGACGGTAGTCGACGGTTCCTGTTTTAACGGAGTTGGTAGGTGACGTATGGGTTTTTTGGACGTTATTGCCACGTTAGCATAATTGTTTTTTTTTCTTATTTGCGGTGAATTTTTAAATGAAAATAAAAGGGATGTGACTCGGAGCCAAAACCCTCAATAAATTCTATGGTATTCATTATATAATCAGTAAATATTCACAGCATAAAAGAATATAAGAGAGAGAGAATTAAAAATAATATTTTTTTAATATATTTATAAATAAAAAATAACCACGGTAACACTTTGAGAGAGGAGAAAGTAACCACCACTTATCGGCGATGCCTTCTACTGTACGCGGAGTGCGCAGTACGCATTCGATTCTTTTCACGATCAAGGGAGAAAGTATAAATGGTGGGGTTAGTTTGAACAAGGATTCTTTGAAAAATGGCCGTCGCCTTGTTCTCCTCACAGATCGTAGCTAGCTTTCTTTTTCTTCTTTTTTCGCCTTTATGTTCTTCCGAGTCATTGCTTTCTTTTGGGGATTCTTGGTTCTTATGCTATTGATAAATGGGCTTTCTTTTTTAATTTTATAACTAAACTCTATTGTTTCACAATGCGGAGATTTTCGAGAGATTTTTCAATAACTGTTAAATAAAAAAAAATATTCTTTTTCCTTCAAAACAAATTTAATTATACGAATAACTTTAATTTTTATCTTATGATTATGATGGTTAGAAAATACGATCAGCCTCCATCATGAATGGGCTTTGCTTGTGCTAAGAAAACATTTTTTTAATTTTCAAAAATAAAAATTTAATTATTTATATTTAGTTAAGTTTATTTAGAATTTTAGTTGTGACAAGGATAATTATTTTTTGTTTGGTTTAATTTTTATAAAAAAATAATCAAACAAAAATTAAAAAAATCAAAACCTAACTAAACCAAAACTAGTTTAAACAAACCAGTTTTGGTTTGATTTGGTTTTTTAGAATAAAAATAAATTTTACTTGATTTTTTTATTTGATTTTTTTTTATTTGACTCTGTTTTGACTTTTTTTTCTTTTTTTATTTAAGTTTTATTTAGTTAATTTTTTTATTTTAAATTTATAAAATCAAAATCAAATCGGTATATTTTTAAATTTTTTTTGTTTTTTTAACTTCTCACAGCCGAGACAAGCTCGTACTCCTATTTTAACATCATGGCATACTGTAGTGATTCATATCCAAAAACACTCCAGTCATTCAGCAGTAAATAATTATTTTTTATTTAAAAAATATTAAATTAACATTTTTTTAATTTTTTAATATATTGGTGTCAAGAATAAAATAAATTCTAAAAAAATAACTTTAAAAATATATATTATAAGAATATTGTAAAAATTATTTTTTAAAATGTTTTTTATTTAAAAATATTTTTAATATTAATACAACAAAATAATTAAAAAAATAAAAAGAAAACACATGTCACCGTAAAAAGGAACGGCCACACCCACGATTTTCATTAGGTGGCTACAGATGGACGGCGCCAACAATCCGAATAGCATTTTGAGATGCGCACGTAAATGGCGAAAGAGCTGCCTGCAAAAGTTGATGATGTGGTTGCGCTCCATTTGTTGAGAGTCAAAAAAACAAGTGGACGACCTTGTGATAAAGTTGTGATCGGGCTACCAAATATATCCTCCGAATTTGTCCAGACTTGCGTACGGAGCAAGGGTAAAAGTGGCATTATAAACGCCCTTTAGGGTTTTGAATCTGGGCATGCAAAGCGGGCCGTTGAGCTGGGTTTTGAGAAAGTGGTGGCGTGTATTGCGTAGAGACGCTAAATCATCACATAATCAAACATTAGACACCTAATCAAGGGAGATTAGGTGCGTCACCAAAGTGTTTAGGTTATAAGTCCCTTGTATTGTGATCATGAGCCCTTTATTTACAAAGAACGTAAAGCATGAAACTTTGATGGACTGTGGAGATCCATCCATCATGCGCATGAAGAAGGTTTTATTTATTTTTATGTTTTAAAAATATATTTTAAAAAAATTAAATTTTTTTATTTTTCATTTATTTTAAATTAGTTTTTTTCTGTGTTTCCATATTGTTTTGATATTTTAATATTAAAATTATTTTTTAAAAAAATAAAAAATTATTTATAAAAAAAATACTTGATTTTGATCTCATATTGTAACAACATTTAAAATCAATTAGCTGACAAGTTTAGGACAGAGATGTGAATGGATTTTTAAGACAAGACAACATTTTAGCCACCCAATTGTCATTTTCATATTAATACACGAATTAAGAGCATTTTTTATATTAATTAACAAGATAGAATCTTAGTACAATAATTACAAGCAAAAGCCTAATAGAGGTTTATTATATGATACAGAGTAGGTTCCAAATAGCTTTCAAGTTAAGTGCCCGTTTTGTATTATAAAAACATTTTAAAAAAATAATTTAAAATATAAATTATTTTTCTTATAAAACTATTTCCATCTCCAAGAACAAACGGGTCTAAGATGCAGATCAAACAAGGGTGGAGGCCCAGACATGGCTCCGGTAAGCCTGGCCCAATAACTAATAATCACACGTGCATAAAGAAAAACATGTTGCGTATATTAATTCAATAACTCTTTCCTCGTTATCACTTTCAGAATTGAAGAGGAGGAGGAAATGACATAGATTTATTATAGATCTATTTTTTAGGGAAGGAATTTATATTAATTAATTAATTAATATATGCTTTGCAGAAATGCTTAACTACTAATCTCTTCACGTTAGAATGTCCAGATTAAAATCCCTCCAATCTCGAAATATAAATACTAGCAAAGCAAATATAAACGAATTAAAACACCATCATTGACATAATCAAAGTTTAATTACCATGTTACCATGCAAATTAAACAACCCGTACATGTAGCTTTGTAATTATATGAAAATAGCTTTATAGTTTATTCAAATATACTGCTGCTCGGACAGCCGATCGCATCCTGTTCAACATGCATGAGAACTGAACCAACCATCAGTTTGGTATGAGCTTGAAAGGAGGCCTAACAAGAGCTGGTGCTGGATTATAGTTTCCATGGTCTTTGGTGATAACTCTTAGAAGAGCCTTTCATGGATGGTTGCCCCTTCATTGTAGTGTGATGGATTGCTTGGTATCTCCTATCAGTAAAGTAAGAATTATGAGATGAATAATCGGACAGAACTCGAAGAAATTAAGCAGAGAGATAGAAGAAAGGCGGTTATATATATGTGTGTGTGTGTGTGAAAATTGTAATTTAACTAATTACTATAAATCTGATTCTATGATCTGGACGTCTGAGCTACACTTCTCTATCTGTGGTTAAAGGATTAAGCTCTCGTACTTGTTATAAATCTTGAACCATCAGCAGCAATGATAACGAAAATCGATGCTCATCATGAGTATAACAGAAGAAGATTATCAAACCCCATGAGTGGCACTTCTTGCTCAGCCAATTTGTTCACGAACTTGGACAGTCGACCTGCAATATTTTGAAGGTGTGCGTTAATGGTGAGCTTTTCCTGTTACGTGCTACAGATTCCGAACATAATAAGAAAAGGAGTTAGATTGATCAAAAAATGCCTTTAAATTTCTTGTTAGCATAGTGAAAACCAGGTCAGAGTTCTTGTCGATTCGAGTGTTGTCTTCTAAACATGAATCAGATTGCACAGTAAAGTTTTTGTAGAGGACTGGTGTTTCCGATTGTTCTTAACGACAAGGACAACTCATCATCAAATGCACATAAAATAACACTGATAAACAATAAAAAAATGGCATTATCTTTCTTCTCTTTTCTGATAAAATTAATGGCGTTAGGAGAAGCACTCCTTCTACTACTACTGATCCATTAACTGGTCCATCTCTTATTAACACGTCTTAAAATGTATGAAGTTTGAACGAAAATGCCTAATTAACAAGTATGATTAGAGTAGATCTATGTGATCATAAATTTAATTAGTTCTTCCTCTATCCTTGGTGCCATGGAGTAACGAATCATCATGGCAATGTTTATATCATCTTCAACCTAGAAGGGTCATAATTAAGTACAATGTGATGGAGTGACGGACTGAAGATGAAATATAGGATTAGATTTATGTAATATAGGATTAGATTTCACTTTCGTTTCCATTTCCAAACACTGCTAATTTATGTAACATAGGATTAGCAGCACAACACTCCAGGGTCGCCAAAGTTCAGCGGACCTAAATCCAGCTGCATTTAGAGTTTGGCCGACTCAAACGATATCTTATTAGTTATTTTTAGGGTTTAGTGAGTGATGATGTTTTTATAACGTAAATTGTAAATTTTATATTATCCTTTCTTTTTATGTCTCTTCTTTTTATTATTCAAAATAAACACTAGTAAAATATTATTAGTTTACTCGATGAGCACCAAGACATTCCGTCCCTACTTCCACCAAAAGAAATACAGCAAGCAATCCTTCAACATTGCTAATATTGACCACTTGTGACTAGGCGGGACACTAGCCGCGCTACACTAGAGAGTGATGATACACACTAGCAACTGCCTCAAGATCAAGGATTCCCTTGCTTAAATAAAAATCCTAATAAATTTGATATTTTGAGGAATTACAGGTAGATGGAACAGGAAATGCGCATTAAATTAGAAATATTTGATCGTAAATGATAATGCAAAGGCTCATTCAGATTCTACAATGACTAATATGAATCAAGACCATCCTATAAACAAAATGCTGCAGGAAGCGAACTCGGTGTTCGAAGTACAGCGGACAGGTATGACAGCAGATACAAAACCAAACACAGTGGAAACTACACGTTTATTTATAGAGACGACAAAATGGGAACCGCTAAGTATCAACCAATATAACTATGATGATGAACCGGTGTTCATTGGCTGGTCATTTTCACGGCGCAAACTGTTTTCCCGACTGTATGCAGCTTTGGCACCCTGAGAAGAAGATTGAATTGATGAGACCACGAAATACCATACATTACATGGATACAGAAGAAGGTAAGCAGTACTCACTTGGAAGATTGTTCCAAGTTTTTTCAATCCTTTAGCTCTTGACTTCAGAACTTCACGGGACACGCTAGGGTCTGTAAGTACCTGAAACAGAAAACATAATTAACAAATCATTCTTCTTTTTACCACATTCATTGTCATTTTTTCTTGTAATTCCTTAGTAGAGACCAATTCATATAACATGTCTGCCGAGTTTTAACACAGTTTTAAATCATTCAGTAACCCCCCCAACCTCGACCTAACATTCAGAATAGGCACTCTTACAATAATGCATCTCGATAACTAAATAAAATTTTAGATAGCATAAAAGGAAATATTGCAAGACAAAATGCTTCACACAAACTGAATCCAGGGTGCATGCTTGTGCCAAGCTTCGACATATAGCAAGACGAGGGCATGTGGTATGGTCAGCATGTAGGCCGGAAGAGGAGGATGAAAGCACATTAGGCATGTTTCCAAAGAACTCAACTGTCACCTCATAATTTACAGGAATGTCAGCCCAGAACTTTGTGTAGCGGTAGAAAGAAATCACCAGAAGTCACCAAGTAAAATTGGAATGTGGGCATCTATCAAAAACCAGGGCTGTTGTTTTAGAAGGTAAACAGCCACTTCAGTTTGCTAATTACAGATGGAGCTGAATTCTAGTTCCTCCTCATCTATTTGAACTACCAATAAGATGTGAAATGTTTTAAATCAGCAATTATCTACTTGATTGTCTGAATCATAAAAGACTTGAAACTGAGATTTAATGTCATGAGAATGTCCACTATCTAAGGGATAAACCCTTTTGGCCACTACTCTTTCATAACATCAGAACTCGCAGGCTTGCAGAATGAAGTTAACCGTCATGATAATAAGAAAGGAAAAGAGAACGACTTACTTCCAGGCAAACACGTGATAAGGTACGTTCAATATCAACCACGTTGATCTGCCAAAGTGATTGAAGCATAGCATCCTTCTTATCTTCAAGGATTTTCTGCATGCTCTCTTCTCGGTTTTCTACTCCATCCAACTTCTTCAACTCCTCCTGTATTTGAATTAAGGAAACAGCACCTGCAAATTCAAGAGAAAATAATTTTGTTAGGTTTTGTTTAAATTATAAACTAACATGAATGACCTTGAAGCCTGTTTCAAGATATTGAAGCTTTAGTTTCAGAAAACTGCACCTGAAGCTGCCATTACTTGTGATTTTATCAGGTGTCCTTTATCTCGTACCCATTCTGCGAAAAATGGTACCTTCATATACCGTTTGTCCTTTCCAAGCTCCTTAGAAGCTTTCCTTGTGTAGATATAGCCAATGGTGTGCAGCATAGCCTCGCCAAATGCTGATGATTATAGTGATTATGAGTTGAGATAGAAATTCAGATAAATTTTCTTTTAAAAACAAGTTAATAAAACAGTGCAAACAGCATTCGCATGTGCACAGTTACAGTTACCCAAATCATAGTCTTTTCATGTTGCTATGTAGCTAAAACTTATAAGAGTAATATTTGAAAAATAACTCCAGCATGGACAATTTTAGCATCACATAGGCATTGCCATGGAGTCCTGAGTTATGTAAAAAGGATATAGACAAGCTTCAGAAAAGGAAAAGGAAATGAAGTTATAGTGCATGACACAGTGGCTGAGAGCAGAACCTACTTCTACACCAAAACAGTTAATCTCCAGAATCCTTTCGTTGCACTTGTATGGTCAAGAAGAAATCACCAAAAACAACCACTAAAATGAGAGGACATAAGAATTCCTTCTTGCAGCAGGTTTTCCATAGTCAATAGTTTTCAGAGTTGATTACTTTTTTAAGTGATATAAAATGTCAATTGAGGAACAGAATATACCAGCTGCAGAGAGGCGACGTGCTTCTGACTTTGCCCAGTTTGTAAACTCGTTTTCCCGGCCCTCAACAAATTTTTCAAGGCAATTTTTGAGAATTGTTATAAGCTTTTCTTCTCTCTCTCTCTGCAGCACCTGTAGATTAAAAAATAGCCAGGAGATTTATTCAAGTGCACCAAACAATGACAATAGAAAAACATCAGTAAATAAAATACCTTCATCTTCATTTCCATATCCTGTATGCCTCCTTCATTTTCAAGAGATGCTATTGTCGCCAATGCAAGTTGGCCCACATAATCTTCAAATAATTCACTCCCAAACATCATTCCAAAGACAGCTGAAGGATCCACCATGGATTCCCTGGCAAAGAGAGTATCTTTCATGAATTCTTCTGGATTAAAAAAGATGTGGGAAATGAAACAAAGATTAAAAGAGGAACCCAACAATGATTAACAGAGGAACCCATCACAAGACAATATTACAGTGAGACGAAGGGCAAATCATTCCCTGGTAAAGTTAGTGATCTGCAAATTGGTTAGAGCCCTGAAATTGGACAAGTCAGTGGCCAAGTATATTGAATGGATTAATGTGGTCTTCTTGTCAGCGTGCAAGTCTCAAATCTGGCTTTGTCCAACAGTGTTTCTTCCTCATGAGAAAAAAGAATGTCACTTTCTTCATCAACCACTTCCTCATGGATTTAGGCTCCATCTCCCTTTTTTCAGTTGTTAACAAATATAATTCCAGCAGGATGAATTAACAAAAATGTAGGCATATTTGAAGCTGTTTTATGATGAAACGACATCCTGACTTCCATTTTCCCACAACTAAAGGCTTTTACATGATTATACATTCAATCTTTGTAGCATCAATTTCCCAATATGGACTAAGGGAATCAGCATCTTAGGAAAAGAGAAAAGGTTTTTTATACACTAAGAGTGTTTTCTCTAAGTTAAATTCCAGTGAGTCCCCAAAGGAGTTTAAGCTGAAGCATAATAGAAAGCAATTTATAGTTGTTTAAACTTACTGTGTTATTCCTTCCTTTCCATACATGTCATATTTTTCACGCTTCTGGGGATCACTTAAGATCTGGTATGCTTCACTGAGCATCTACAAACATAGAACAAATAAATAAGCTCAACAACAGATGCAAGTTGACAAATAAATGTGTTCTTCCATTATGTATATGCTCTGGCTTTTCGTAAATCATCAAGAAATGAAAGGGAAAAGCAATACATTCCAATTTCCAAGGAAAGGGCACCCTGTGTCCGAATAAATGAGAAATTTTCTAGCAAAAGACAATCAATAGAGCATATTAAAACATAGATTTTCCTCATTTATGCAGTACAGTGCAGTTGAATATACAACTTAACTCAACCACAGGATTACTTCAAAATGATGAAATAACACCCAACTGAAAGCACTGAAAAAACGGAATAGAAACTTTGCATAATAACCAAGGTATAATCTTCAATGACAATCATATTATGAGCTAACCTGAAAATTTTCTGCAGCTTTTGGATCTCCAGGATTTTTATCTGGATGAACTATCCTTGCCTGTTCAAAGCACCAGAAACTACACTCAATAACGATCCCACAAGTAGGGAAAACATGAGCAGAAAAAATCAGTGCTTCCACATGTTCGTGATAAAAACAAAAGATTGCATCTGCAATTTAAGACCCTTATTTCAAAATTCACAGCCCTTCAATAGAACCACTTCAGTGCACTACTAAATTCTTTTCCCATGGGATTGAAGCTATAAACCTTGTGGCTAACCCACAGCTTTTAAAGCCACTTCCATTGAAAGCTCACCTTGAGATAGTAAGCCTTCTTGATCTCTGCCGGTGTCGCCTCGACCTTAACCCCCAAAAGGTCATAAAAGGCTGTATCTTTGACCATTGGTTTTGCTTTTAATCTTGTTTAGGAGAACTACATGATAGGATCAGAGAAACAAAGACTGAGAATCAGCCTCATTAACAAACAAATAAAGTAAATTCAATTCAGTAAGTTAAGCACACGGAACAACAATAGTGGCAGAGAAACTGTATTCACTTATAAACATCAAAAGAATCCATCCTTCCAGGAAAAACAAGATGGGTTACTTCCGAATAATAGAATGGGATAAAAAAATAACAAGATCGAGCTTTTGATGAAAACAACGAAATTTTTACCATTTTGCCGAGCCTAGATTTTAGCTAATACTACCAAAAACAGCATGTATTTATCACAAACTAAAAAAGAGACTATAATATAGAAACAAGATCAAGATTCTAGAACTCACGAAGAGAAATTTTAGATGGGATTGCAAAGACAGGGAGACTTGGTAGTTTCTTGCAGAGAAGAAGTACTGAAGATCAAAGGAAGCGAGAAAGAATCTAACAGAATGGAGATTTTAACGTGTCGGTCAGCTACGGATAAGGGTTTTATAGATTCGAGAACGTTTTTAATAGCTTGTTTGGGATTAATTTTTAGAATATTTTTTATTTTAAAATATATTAAAATAATATATTTTTTATTTTTAAAACATTATTTTTTATATTAGTATATTGAACTATTTTAAAAATTATTTTTTATATTAGTACAATGAATTAATATAAAAATATTAATTTAAAAAAAATAAATTAAAAAAAATAAATTTTTAAAAAATATTTTTAAAATATAAAAATAAACCATTTTTAATTGGTCAATAAAATACAAATGAAACTTCAACTATGCTAAGGAATAGAAGAGATGGTATCGTTTTCTAGAACTGAAGAAGCTTCGTGGTCAGAGAGGGAAGACGTGTCGATCATTAACGAACGGTTGGCATTCTTGACTGGTAGCAGAAGCTACTTCTGATTTGATTTCTTCGTTGCAAGCTCAAAACATTGCGGCTATGTTTTATTTTTTGTTTTTAAGGTCCAAAATCTTGGGATGGCCTTTCGAGAATACTTAGATTAAATTAACCTGTAAGAATTAGCAATTAGAAGACGAATATGTTTTTTAAAAAATAAAAAAATTAATAACATTTTAAATTTTAATTAATTCTATTATATAATAAAAAAATAAAGTAACATCAACAAATCTAAAATATATATTTTCTAATCAAAACTTCACTAATATGTGAAATTCATGACTTGAACATTAAATATGTTAATATTATATATTTATAGTGCATCAGAGATTTTGAGATTCAAATAATTTAAAGAAAAAAATTAACAAAACTAAGAAAATTAAAAAATAAATGTGAGTCAAAATATTTAATATCACAAAATAAATTGTTTAATTGGTTGTGTTTAATGAATTTGTTTATTAAAATTAATTTGTAACATTAATCAGCACACATGTTACATTTATTGAAGGAAAGAAAAAAATAATAATAATATGTAAGGTTATACATATTAAAAATATTATAAAAAAATAAAATAAATTCAATCTATATAAAATACAATCATTTTTAAAATGCTAAATGAGCAAAAACATAACATATGAAATTAGTATTAATTAAAATATAAACTTAACACATAAAATTAGTATTAGATAAAATATTAACTAAAAAATAATGTAAAAAAGGCATATAAAAAGAGGTATCAACTAGAAAAATTAAAAAAAAAAAGAATGAGGTCATTCGCTAATGGATTTTATAAGCCAAGACAAGTGTCTGATCCATCAAGAAATAGCTCGGGCAAGGGCATGCAAGATTAGACCCAAATACACAAGTCTTTTGTTTATTTATAAATTTATTGAGCAAATTACATGTTATTTGTCCTAAATTATTTTGAAAAATACATAAATGACGTATTGTTTGAATCTCTAGATCTGGCTATTGTAGTGGTCTGAAAATAAGGTTCATGTTTTTTTCACCTAAAAGATCATTTTGAAGCTATTTTATACACAAAACACACAGAAAACATTAAAAAAAAAAAACTTGTTAAATCAATCTATAACCTTAAAATATATATAAAAAACACCTTAAAATCTGAAATAAAAAATCTTTTTAAGCTAGTATCTATCTTTTTAGACACTTTCAAAGTAAAAAAAATCACATAGCTCATCCTTTCATTATATAGAAAAATTCGATACAAAAATCAACCGTTTTAGTAGTCAGAATCATCACCAATAACAACTTTTCTTTTCCATATGAGAATAATGAGTTATTCTCTCAAAAAAAAAATCACCAATAACAACTTTTCTTTTCCATACGAGAATAATGAGTTATTCTCTCCAAAAAAAACTAAAAAATAAAAAAAATAAAATTTTATATAAAGATTGAATTTTTAGAAATTAAATGGATAGATTACTTTAAAAAAAAAAACCAAGAGATGAAAATGAACTTTCAAAATAAATTTCATAGTCACTATTTATTTCACTTATTTTCACTTTAGTTTTTTATTTTTCAATTTAACCTTCCGTCAATTTAATTTTTTTAAATAGTATTTTAATTCATAATAATACGTGAGCTGGTTAACAGTAATCATGCTATAGTAAAAGAAGAGGAAGAAGCTCTTTTAGTGCATGTTAGTTACATTTTCTTTTCTTTTTTCTAATTTTATTTATATAAAAAAATAATTCTCCTAATTTTTATTTTGACACATCCACTCATGAAGTTAATTAAAAAAAATATCATTTGAACATAAATAGTAAAAGGAAAAAAGAGAAAGCTTTAGGGGCTACTTGTTTGTTAAACAGTATTTTTTTAAGTGGTTTTGATAAAAGTGAATTTTTGTATAAATAAATTGTTTTTTTTATGGTTAATAATATCATAAAGAGCTTGGAAATACTTTTTAGTGTATAGCTATGCTATGAAAATTAAAATTTTAATTGTTTTCTAGTATATTAAAATGACAAAGGCCAGAATTAACTGGTGGAAGAGTTTAAAAGTGTATAAAATTAAAAAATATTTTAATTTTATAAATTATTTTAAATAAAATAAATATTATTAAAAAAAATATAGACCAAATGTGATAGATTTAAATTTTTAAGGATGATGAAATTGAAAAAATATATTTCAAATTAAAAAAT